GCATGGATCCCCCCCCCCCAGGCACTTGCATTTTCTCTCCTCTCACCGGTTTGCTTCGCTGCCTCTCACCAGTTTGCTGAGGGTCTCAGCTTTGGCATCTGGACATTTGGGCCTGGATCATTCCCTGTGTGTGTGTGTGTGGGGGGCTTCCCCGCTCTGTGGGGGGCTGGGCAGCATTGTGATGACCGCCAGCGTCTCCAGATGTTGCCACACGTACTCTGGGGGGCAGCGTGGTCCCTAACTGAGAACCCCTGACCTAAATCCACCTTGCGGATAGAAAAGCTGAGGTCTCCAGAGAGGTAGCAACCTGCCCACAGGCCTGGGACCCGGGGAGTGTCACAGCCGGGCTCCCCACCCAGGGCGGGGGACCCCTGCATGCTCCAGTGGGCCTGAGGTGGCCTCAAGCCCACCTCCCGTTCCTCTGCTGTCAGGTGTTGGACATGGAGGAGATGACCATCTGGGAACAGCACACGGCCACGCTCTGCAAGGTGAGGCCTCCCTCTCCCCGCGTGGGTGCCTACAGGGGTGCCACCTTGATCCCGGGCTGCTCCACGGGAGGAAGCAAAAACTCATCCTAGGTCTCCTCCCCTCTCTCAGGACCCCCGGAGAGGCTTTGGCATTGCCATCTCTGGCAGCCGAGACCGGCCCAGTGGATCCGTGGTCGTGTCGGACGTGGTGCCGGGGGGGCCAGCTGAGGGCCAACTGCAGTGAGTGTCAAGGCAGCAGGGGTGTGGGCAGGGGCGGGGCCTGCCGAGAGCAGGGAGCCGTGTGGGCCAAAGCCAGGAGCGGGGAGAGTGCCTGGTGCCTTTCAGCTCTGTCAACACAGGGCTCGGAGCTGGCAGCAGCACAGGGTTGGCGTCGGGAGAGTCACCCTCCCCAAGCCACTTCCTGGTCCTTCGCTGTAGGTCTCCGGGGTCATGATGGCCTTCCTGAGGTGAAAGGTCCTGGAAGCCTTTTGTGGCCGCAGGGAAGGAGACGCTGTGTTCTGAGCCCTCGGGAGCGGCAGGCTCCCGGGCGTTCTGTTGGGAAAACGGTTCTGGGACCTGAGTGGCTGACGGGTGATATGGTTCAGTCCAGAATCGAGACACAGCTCACAGCTTCAGAGAGAGAGAGAGACGTTATGAAACACAGGGAAGGGGCGCCTGGGTGGCTCAGTCAGTTAAGCGTCCGACTTTG